ATTTTTTATCTAAGGGTGGAGGAGCAATGGTTAGGGTGTGGTAACAGTGAATAAAGATGGGGATAAGAGGTACACGTAAAGAGCAGTATCCACTGGAGGTGGCTGCGAAGGAAATGGAATCCCAGGAGAGCTTGTCTCAGAGGTTTGGAAAGGAGACTGTGGTGGGTGGAGACCATGGATGCTGGTCCCCCAGCAGAACCCTCGTCAAGCAGTAGAGGCTGTGGTGTGTCCCAGCCTCATCACCCTTTTTACTAAGTGCCCCTAAGGTGAGGGAGTGTGAATGCTGAGCTCCTTCCGGGCAGAGCCCATCTCAAGGCTCTGCATCCCTCTCAGGCTCGGGTCAGAATATACACGTAGGTGAAGATGGACATTCAATCCCCACCTTGGGTCTGGGCCAATAAGGTCTCCTATTACAGGGACCTGGTGGCCCTCTCTGCCTGTAGATTTCCCAGACTGTGAGCACACCCGTGCCTTTCCCAGGAGGTCTGAGTTTCTCCCTCCTCTAGACCTGGCCTCTGACCTCTACTTTTAGGTTATTTCCCAGGTCAGGCTCTATAGCCTAGACAGACAAATGTTTCACTCCCTAGTGCAATAGGACTTTCCTAACAGCAACACCACCAATAATAATAAAGTAACAAATAGCATTAATACATGGCACAGATAGCACTTTCTGTGTCAAGCACTGTGTTGGTACTTTAAAAAAAAAATGTTTATTGATTTCAGAGAGGATGGGAGAGGGAGAGAAAGAAACATCAATGATGTGAGAGAATCATTCACTGGCTGCCTTCCACATACCCCACACTGGGGATTGACCCTGCAACCTGGGCATGTGCCCTGACTGGGACCGAACTGTGACTTCCTGGCTCATAGGTCGACACTCAACCACAGAGCCACGCCGGCAGGGCTGTGCTAGGTACTTCTATCTTTCACCTCGTTTAATTTTTAAAACTCTGAACGATGGGCAGTACCACTCATATTTCACAGATGGGACTAAATCTGAGGGGCCTAAGTCATTTGCCTAAGGTAACCCAGCTAAGTGACAATGTTCAAATTTCAAGCTAAGTCTACATAACTCCACAATTGCCTTTCCCTCTTAAACCATTTTGTCTCTCCCAAATTCAGGGCCTCAGTCCCCCTTTGCATGAATGTGGGGTCCTGGCCAGCCTCTGAAGTTCCTCCCTCCTTACCCAAGGACTGAACTACAGCTGGAAGGTCAGGCCTGTGCCAAGACTACCCAGAGGCCAACCCCAACCCTCATCCCCTCCCCTCTCCCTGCTGGGCTGGAACCACTCCCACAACCCAGCCCAGGTCTCTAACCACCCTGAACTGATCACCAGCCAGAAGCCCCTCAGCAGTGAGGCCAGTCTCCCAGTTTCAGGAGTGAGGACGAGGAGGGAAATGGAGGAAGGGGAGGCAGCCAAGGGGATTGGGAAGGCAGCTCCCGGGGGGCCTCTAAAGCCCAGGCAGCCTGGGAAAGGGGTTGGGGGAGCAGAGGTCGGAGGAATGGAGCCTAAGTGACCGCATGGCAAGCCCTGCCTCTCACGTGTCCTGTTCTCTCCAGGCCTTGGGCCGTAAAGGGGGAGGGAGTCTCTAGCCTTCATCAAACATCAGGAGGAGGATGCACAGGCCACAGCACCCCCCACACTGCATTATATCTCTAGTTTCAGGATTGTCTCTCCCCTCAGACTGTAAGTGACTATGGGTCAAAGACTGTGTTTAATTCATCTTTGTCTTCCTAGGGAGCAGCTCAATGATACCTGGCCAGCCAGTGAGTGTGTGCAAGATGGAGCCAGGTGTATTTCTGAGAATTTCACAAGAGCTGGAGGCTGCCCCCTCTCACCATGGACTTACATATACCTACACCTTCATATACCTACACCCTCCCTGCCAACCTCAGCTTCCCCTGTCAAAAGTCCACTGGTGCTCTGAGCATACATGACCTGTGGGCACATCCCCAGTAGGGGGTGTGCAGGAAGCAGCTGATCGATGTTTCTAACTCTCTATCCCTCCCCCTTCCTCTCTGTAAAAAATCAATAAAAATAAATTTAAAAAATAAATAAATAAAAGGCCCTGGGTAACTTATTTGTGGAGTTTTCGGTGCTACTGTTCAGTGAATAGGGAACCAAATGACCACAAATAGTGACGAGTAGAGGTCCCGTATGGATGAAGTAAGTATGGCCAGTCCTAACACAGGCTGTTTTGTGGGTACCAGAAAGTTATACACAACGAGCAACTGCTCACATAGCAAGCGGCAGGTAGCAGCCATGACTGAGGCCTAATACCTGTTCTCGCCCTGCCCAGCCTGGCCTTGGCTCCTGAACACAGAGCTGCCTCCTGCCAGAATTCTGCAGGTGAGGCTCCAGACAGGTGTAGAGAGCTCTCCGGTGGCTGCAGGAGCAGGACAAGCCTGTGGCTGGGCACCAGATGGGAGGGGCCTGGGGAAGCAGCCTCTCCCAGGTTTACGTGGGGCTTGGAGCCCAGAGAAATGAAGAGCAGGGAGGTCCTCGGAAGGCATTAGCCCTGGGCTTGGGTCGGGAAAGGGTCCTAAGAGGAGGCTTCCTGCGTAGCCAGGAGGGCCCAGGCAGGTCCGCTCTAGTGCTGGGGCTGATGAGGCCCTGGGCATCATTGGCTTCCCTCTGCCAGCTCATCTCAAGACCCACATTATCTTTGACATTAGAGCCTGGGAAAACTCACGGAACTTCAGAGGGTCCCTCCTGCCTCTTCTCTCTCCTTCCCACTCACCCCACCAACCCTGCAAGGAGTTCTCACTGACACAAGTCTGGTTCCAGATCCCTGGGCATGGCCTGCATAGGACAGGGCACAGACATCAGCACGGGTGAGCGTGTGCCTGCGCACAGCCACACGTCTTCATCCCAACTGCTCCAGTGCCTTTGATGGTCTTGCTGCCGAGGCCAGGCTGGGCGCGAGCTCCTCAGAGTTTTCCCGGGAAAAGTGAGGCCCTGCCGCCGGCCCCCTGAGGGCCTGAGTACAATGAGTTTTCTGACTCTAGTTGGCTTCCTTCCTTTTCTTCTTTCTTTCCTTACTCCATTGGATGAATTGTAAGAACCCTGAATTAACTGATCTTGATGTTCTTGGAAGGAACATATGATAAACACCCACCTGGCTGGCCCTGGCCCACCTGCTGCCTGTCCTATCCTAGCAGGAGGCAAGACCTGGTATTTGAGCCAATTCCAGATCATTTATGGTGGCTGGGCACTGAGGGTAAAAAAGGCAAATGGGACCAGGGTCCTGCCCTCTGGGAGCTCCTCTGACAGGTGTCTATGGGCAGAGGAAAAGATGTGCCAGGAGGGGGTTGGGCCGATGGTAAGAAGACCAGAGTGAGAAAGCAGCCTCCAGGCTCCCTAGGGTTCACCACAGCAGACCCAATTTGCTCCCATTTCTCCCTTAAGAGTACCTACCCGTGAACCCAATTCTATTGCCTTCAGGACAAAGAGAAGGGCTCTGAGGACACGAGGGTCCTAAAACCAGAGAAGTGCTCGCTCGGCCCCCTCTCCACCTGGTTTGCGTGGCAGTGGGTGGGCCTGCTTGCAGCTGGGGCTGGCTGAAGCCAAACCCTTTCCTCCCCTTCGGGAGCCAAGCTGAACCAGCAGCCTGGCTCTGAGGTGGGTTCCCCTTCCCCACTGTCCCACCTACCTGAATTTCTGGACCTGACTTCTGTCTTCTCCCTCGCTTGCTACCTATTTGACACTGCCTGTACTTGGCCTTGCCTGGAAAAGGGCTGTGGAGTTAAACCAAATTGCACTGAGACCTCCATGGGCAGGTTAAGCTGTTCCCGCCTCCCAATTCTCCTTTAAACGTCCAGAAAGAATTAGCTTCTTACTGAAGGCAGAGGCCGTCTGTCATCATTCTCTCTGGTAGGAGGCATGGGTATCGAAAGATGAATGGGCTGAGCTCTGCAGTGCCCCTCCCGTGGGGTGGCTGGTGACAGCTGGTTGAGGGGAGAGGGGGAATGGGCCTGCACAAGTTGGCAGGTGTCCCTATAGATCCAGAGCTGAGATATAGAGGACTCAGGAGGGGACTCGGTGTGTGGTCCCCTAAGGAGCAGTCTGAGCCTACTTGGCCACATAAGCTCCCTGAAGAAACAGGCTCTGACCTTTGCCTGCCTGGAACATGACTATAGAATCTGATTATTCTCAGAGTGGAACCAGACTCAATGGCAAGTTGGGTACTGAACTGCAGGTCAGTGGTGAAAGTACTAAGTAGAGAGAGACCATTATACATGAGTTTGGGAATTAGCACTCTCAAGTTGAGGGCTCTGCTGTCCCTGCAGAATGGCCCCAGGGTCCAAACAGGCCTTCCTCCTTTGGCTGGGAATGAGGGTGGACCCATTTGACCAGAGTCAGAGAGACCTCACAGCGAGGAAGAGGGACTCGGGGAGGCAGGTACAAGGTCAGGGCAGGAGAATATGAAGAGTAGGAGTAACGCTAGAGCTTACACATAATAGCTTTCCTTACCAGAGGATCTAAAGCAGAGAAGGCCTGCAGGGGCTGTTGGGGAGGGACTTGGGAGCTGGGTTGGGGGTGTGGCTAGAGAAAGCTGAGCAAGGCCCTAGCAGCGGTTCTCAACCTGTGGGTCGCGACCATCAGAAAACACATATAGCATATCAGATATTTACATTACGATTCATAACAGTAGCAGAATTACAGTTATGAAGTAGCAACGAAAATAATTTTATGGTTGGGGGTCACCACAACATGAGGAACTGTATTAAAGGGTCGCAGCATTAGGAAGGTTGAGAACCACTGCCCCACAGCCTGGGTACCTAGAGGCAGGGAGCAGATACCAGGCATATCAACTCCAGAAGCCTGGGGCAGCCACCCTTGGTTGAGTCTGAGTGTCTTTCAACTCTGGGTCATTAATGCTTCTCTTGAAAGGTTCCTCTTTGCTCTCTGCTGGGTTCAGAGGAAGGGACTGACCTGGAAGCTGGGCAAGGCCAGGGCAAGAAGAGCAGGGAAGGAGCTGGTGTACAGGGAGCTCACCACTCTCTCTTTGTAGACGATGTACTTCAACCACTTGAAGTCCTGCCACTTGAAGCCAGCGAGGACGAAGAGAGAATCGCGTTCATACTGCTCAGGTCGCTGCATGGCGCCCTCAGGGTAGGTGATGCGCAGTGTAGTCTTGCTGCCCACGTCCCTCTCAAAGCCTTTCACTGGTGCTGAGTTCAGTCTACAGAGAGCAGCCCCAGTCAGAGCCTTGGGCTCACTGCATGCGGTCTATGTTTGGGGAAGCACTCTGACCCCAGAATACCCCAGGTTCAGAGAATGGGGAGCCCAAGTCACCGGGAGCCATCTAGCTTTCTGATCCAAAATCCTCCAACCCAGGACTCTTCTTCAGGCTTCTGCTGACCTCCAGCCCAACTGGCCAGATGGCCAGACAATTCTCAGTGGGCGCAGGCACCAGGGTCTGGGCCAGGACATGCAGGTGCCCGAGGCACTGCTTTGGGGAGTTTACCTGACCACAATGTCATAGTCATCAATTCGTGACCCCAGAGACTTGTTGGCAAGGACACCTCCGTTGCCTACGATGATGCAGCGGCGGCAGCTAAGGCTGAGGGAGAAAGGCAGAGACCTCTGGAGAGCTGTCCATCAGGTATCCTTCTCCCCTACCCTTTTGGTCCTTGACCCCATGCCCTTGACCAGGCACAGGCTGGGATAGAAGAAGAAAACGAATGGGCTTCTGGCAGTATTTCTGAAGAGGCCAGAACCAAACTGCAGGCAGCTGGGCCACCTGGAAACTCTCAGACATCCCTAGTCCCTGACACTTCTCCAGAAAAACATGGGTGTGAAAAGGGCTCGGAAACTAGCTCCGTGTAGGTGAGAAAGGAGGCTCTGGTAAGATGGCACTCTGGGTTAAAGATTACCCAAGAGTTAGTGGGGTTTAGGCAGCTTTCAGGAGAGGGAAGTGGGCTGAGCTTGAGGGCTATGCCAGAAAAGCAAGGACAGAGAAATGGACTGGAGGCTCCGGAGGCTCCAGGACTTGGGGCTGGGCTTATATTCAATCCAGAAGCCCCCGTGCTCCCATAAAGCCACGAGGGAACCCTACTCACTTTTCTCTCCAGCCCCTGACCCTGGGGGTCCTTCTATCTGGGTTCTGATGGCGTCGGAGGTATTACTGCCTTCTGGGTGTAAGCCTTGGCCCTTTTAGCTGTACCTACCACCTAGCTCCGCAGTCCCAATGGCAGGCACATCCCAGCCCAGAGTCCTCAGCTTTTACCCTCAGACCTCTGCTGTCTGAGGAGTGAGATGTCTTGCCAAGTGCTTACAGCCCACGGGTGCAAGCCCAGCTAGACGGCCCCACTTCTCTGCTCCCCCACCCCAGCGTGTGTACTGTGTGTGCATATGTGGATACGTCGGAGAATCTGCTCATGTCCAGGAAAGGCCAGCTGGGCCTCAACATCTCTGCACAAGGCAGCTGAGGGGCAGGAGGCCGGGCAGTGAGTAGCTCACCTGTCCAAGGCAGGGGTCAGGCGGTACTCTTTGGTGACTGACAAGATGGCTTTGATTAGATTATCTGTGGAGAGAAGAGGGAGGCTAACGTTGGAGGAGCACTTAGGTTCCCATGAAATGTTTTCCGGGTAGGGTGGAGGTGGAGGAGGGGAGAGGGAGCTCTGGGCACAGGTTGGCTGGGCTGCTGGCTTTCCTTTCTCCCTGAGAAAAGGAGAGGGCGCAGGAGAACAGGCAGACACACTTGGCTCTGCCTGGAGCCAGTCCCCAGCACTGGCATGCAGGTTCTTCCCCAGCCCTTCCCTGGCAGTCTTACTTGGCTTTGGGAGGCTCTGAAGTCAGGCCTGGGACTTGCCCAGGAAGGGCTGGGCTGGCTCAGTAGAGGGCTGAGGTATTCTTGGATCCCCTGGCCACATGATATCTCCCATTTAATAGTTATCTTATTTAATTCTGACCACATCCCAATACAATGGTACTCTTCTCTCCACTTAACTGATTAAGAAGCTAAAGCACAGGCAGGTTAAGCAACTTGTCCAAGGTCACAGCTAGTAAAAAGGCAGCAGTGGGATCTGATCCTTCTGTGTCTGACCCTAAAGCTCATACTCTATCATGCCACGAAACAGAGCAGGAACCTGACACAGAAATGGAACTGTTACTCTCAGGATGGGAAAGACTGGCTTTGGGCAGGATAGGAAAGGCCTGGACAGGGACTAGGTGAAAAACATCGGGAGGGGTGAGGAAGGAGCCTGGGGGCATTTGTGAGGGACGGCCTCGATTTGCTCTGGGATTTTCCATCTTATACCTAGTTCTCTAGCGCCAATATCTCTGGCACCACCTTTTCACAGCTCCATGTTCTTCCCTCATCAGATCCCTTACTGTCCTGCACTCTGAATGTCTTATCTCCACCAGCCTGAAGCTTTCTGAAGACAGGGACCCTATCTGTCGACTCCACTGTTGTATACTTAGGCTTGACAAAGTGCTGGGCTCTGAGTAAATATTCCATTAAAGAAGTAAGAAAAAAGGCAAGAAGGGAAAGAGGAAGAGAATGTAAGGCATTGTTGAGAGCAGGGGAGGGGGTGGACCCCCAGCATGGGCACTTCTGAGGATACAGCCCTGCCTGAAATGTAGGGAGGTAAGTCTGGAAGATGAGATGTCAACGTAGAGTGGGTCAGGGTTCTCAACATACCTTGGCCTTTGATCCCAAAAGGCGGCACAAATTCTCGGATCCTTGCCCACTTGCGGAAAGAGTCATCCAGGAACATGGGTGCTGGCTTGGAGAACCTGGAATACAACAGGGCTGCTGAGGATTCCCAGATGCAATAGGCTGGAGTGCTGGCTGGCTCTTCTGTACATGTGTCTTGCCAATGGCTCTGCTGGAAGCCACCGTTCACACCTCAGCATACCCTTCCTACCTCCACCTGCTCACTGGGTAGCTGCTGTGTGTGTCTGACAGATGGTGTTCAGCAGGGCCTGAGTCTAAAGGAGCAGGGCCGGCCAGTCCGATGTGGCCAGCTACAGGAGTGGAGAGCCCAGACCCCTCGTCAGGGATCAGCCTTTCTGAGCTGGCAGCTCCCTGGCAGGCTGTCCAGGCATGCCACCCATCCAACAGTCACTGCTGCCCACACCGTTCCTGCAATCTGGGAACACAGAGAGGAGGCACTGCCCCATGGGGCAGGAAAAGAACCCAAAACAGCCAGTGCAGGGAGACAGAACCCTGGAGAGCATCCTGAGAGGTGGACCACCCAGGGTGCGGAGGAGGGGAGTTCATGATGAGCGGGCAGAGCTGGTGAACAGCCACAGGAGACAGAGATCTGGAAGAGAAGAGAGAAACGGCAGGACCCGGAGGCTGGGAGGCAGGGCCGAGGGGAGGCTTCAGACAAGCAGGAGCCTGAGCACATTTGCTGGCAGAGAGGAGGACAGCGGGAACGCAGAGCTCCTCGGGAGGCGAGGGAGTGTTACAGAGCTTACGGAGAGGGGTGACTTGGCCTGGAGGAAAGATGGGAGGGACAAGAGAACGGAGGAAGGGGGAAGTGATGCTGAGTTGAGGGGAAGGGAAAAGGCAAGTTTCACCTTTCCTGGGAAAGCGGAGAGTGGGCAGGCAGGGTGCAGGCCGGGAGGACGGGACGGCCACACAGGATGCGGAGGGAGCGAGGGCAGAGTGCGAAGGCACAGGAGGAACAAGCTCCTCAGAGACGCGTGGACAGCGCGGCTTCACATGGAGCCCAGCACCCCGGCGGCGAGGCCTTTGTCAGGGCACCCAGCAGCCTGGAAGGTGGCCGGCGCCTGGGCATCTACTATGTGCCGAGTCTGGTTGGGGGGCGGGCTGAGGGCCTCCCTGGCCAAGAGTGAATGTGTGGAGGCCTAGGCCTTGTGGCTCTGTCTCTTTGTTTCCAGTTCAACTGAATCAGCCACTGAAAAACTGAAGGCTGGAGAAGAGGCCCTGTAAGCTCAGAAGCTAGAACTTACCCTCCCAAATTCTCTAATTCAACTTTGCATTTCCTATTCCCACCATCACTAACACCAGGACAATCTCCACGCCCAGGGGAAATTCTATCAGTAACCGCTTGGACGTCGAATATTAGAGATTTTGAAGTGAACCTGAAAGAGGCAGAAAACTTTCACTCCTGCTCCGTCCCTCTTTCTCACCTTTGGGAAGATGTTGTCACACTTGATAGCATGGACAGCCCAGCCCCGCTCCGCAGCTTTCCTTTGCACTTCTGAGTTAGCACACTCCCCTCTGTGTCAAGGGTCACGCGTGTTTCTCATACCTAGCCTACAAAACCTGAGTGATGGATAGGTTTGACGCTACACTAGAGGCACGGAGGATCCTGGCCATAGTCCACGTGTAAGAGCAAAGGAAACAAGGTCCCTGGAAAAGCCTACAGCAAGAACCTCTCCTTCTGTGTTGGAGCTCAGCTGACAAAAGTTTTACAAAGTTTCTCAGTCAGGCTTGGACAGGATTTTATCTGCTTCCAATATGTACTGGATGTCATGTGCTAATGAAATCTCCTCTGATCTAGCCAATTTTTTTCATTTTCCTCTCCCTTCCCTCTTTTTCAGCTGATAAGAAAGTTCATGATGCTAATTTTCACTTAAAAAAAATAACACCTTTTTAAAAAAAGAATTTTTTGTTTAAAGTATTACAGATAGTACATGTCTCCTTTTCCCCCCATTGACCTTTCCCCTACCTCCCCCGCCCCGCACATTGACCCCCCGCCCCCCAGTGTCTTGTTTCCATTGGTTTTGCTTATATGCCTGCATACAAGTCCTTCGGTTGATTTCTTACCTCCCTCACCCAACACTCCCCAGCCTTCCCATTGTAGTGTGACAAATTGATTTTTAGAGAGAGGAAGGAAGAGAGAAAGAAACATCCACTGGCTGCCTCCTGCACGCCCCCTACTGGAGGAACAAGCAGGCAACCAGGGCATGTGCCCTGACCTGGAATCGAACCTTCTGGTGCACAGGATGACTGACACCTAACCAACTGAGCCACACCAGCCAGGGCTAAAATCCCCTCATTTTTAATGTCACTTATATGTTAATTTTGGAGAAACAGACAGATAGGTGCACGCACAAACTTAATGAAAAATATCCACAGTCCTACAATACAGAGACAATTAACTTTTTGGTATATATCTGCACTGATTTTCCTTTTCCCGTATTGTTTTTTAAACAGCTCTGTAGATTATTTTTTTTTTTACTTTATAATATCATAAAAACACTGCTATGCAAATGGACACAACTTTCTCCTAATTCACAATAGGCCAAATAACCGTAAGTTGCTGGTAATCTGTCACAAATCAACTCTCCAAAAATCAAATGTACAAGGATACACCTTTCCCTGTCTATTTGCCTGGAAAATCCCTTCTTTAAGTCCAAACGCTACTTCCTCGGGACAGTCTTGCCTGACTCCCACAGAGAGACTTGTACTCTCCCTCTAGTGTTTTCACTAGTTTTGTTTAGCCCCCACGGGGTGGCTCAGAGCCTGCAGAGCCTTGGAAGCTGAGCCTGGCAGTAAACAACAGGAAATGGGGTGGGGTGATGGTAGAGGTGGTGTATGTGTGTGTGTTTGTGTTAATTCTGCAGGTGGCCTGGGCAGAGCCTCACGCTGTACCTGGAATAGAATCCAGGGGCTTCTGTCCAGACTAGGGTGCCAGTTTGGGAGCCGGGTGAGGGCGGAGGTGGCCCCTGAGGTGCAGAATGACTGGTCAGACTAGCGGGGTGTGGGATGCCTGACCTGCTGGCCCTGGCCTAGGGGGTAACAGGGCAGGGTGGGGCAGGCTCCAGTAGGCAGGCCCCAGCCCGCCAGCCCTGGGGAGAGCACCAGCACGAGAGGCAGCCCCAGGATTAGGTTTCAGGAGGGTGTGTGTGAGTGCGTGAGAAGGAACAGGGGAAGGAGAAGACGGAAGTTGCACTGGGACCTGCCTGTCTTTTCCCCTAGATCCTAGAGCATAGTAGTTTGGGGACTTGGAGCTTTAGAAAGGCAAGTGCTGTGGGTGGGTCTAGCCCCGTGCCTCTCACAGCCAGGCTGGGACCCCAGACCCAAGAGGCTGACCTGCCCATAGAACCTACAGACTCTGACCAGTCAGGAAGGGTAAACGGATCTTCTTGCTCATTTAGTGCCCAATGGTAAGGCTGAGGTGCTGTGTAGAAGGTAGTCTCCAACTCTAGCTCATCGACCTAAACCATTCCCTAAGGCCCAGGACATCAGCCTGTACCCAGAGAGCAGCAGGAAAGCTGACTGGGTCTTATTAGAGGTTGGGGACTAGTTGAATGTGGGCACCAGCAGCCTCACAGTAAGGTCTTCATCCCACCAACTCAACTGAAAAAGGTGCCTCCAGATGTGGGTTTGCTGTATTAGGGCAACAGCGCCAGCTCTCCATCTGTGCCTGTTTGCTTGAGTGGCCAGCCCTCTAGGCACCGTGCTCTTCCTCTAACGTTTCCACTATGTTTTATTCAGCCCCCATGAGGTGGCTCAGAGCCTGCAAAGCCTCTAACTCTCTAGCCACTGTGCCTAGTAAGTGTGAGCAGCCCAAGATGCCCAAGAGACAAAGGGAAGGCAGAGCCCAGCAGTGGGTCCTGAGAACAGGGCCACAGCAATTAGCCTATTAGATTCAGCCATAGGCCTTGGTCCCTCCAAAAGTGAGACTGTCATTCAATGGGGTAAAAGCCAAACCCCACAGATCCATCTTCCTAGAACCTGCTCTGGGAAGTGGCAGGTGGACAAAGCAGAGGGTCAGAGGTTTCTAGAATCTACCTTGGCCTTATTTGGGATCTTGCTACGGCAGCCCCACCATAAATAGCCCTGCACAGTAAGACCTTGGTACATGTCCAAGCAAGCAAACAAGCAAGCAAAGTGAGCACTTTCTAAATGCTTTGTCAAGCTTAACGCCTTGCTGCCACTCCCACCGCTGACCACCTAAATGAATCCCATGGGACAGCAGGCGTCTGAGGAGAAAGGATGGTAGCTCTGGAGGGCAGGTGGGCATATGTCCGGGGGAAGCAGCCCAAAGGTAGAGAAGACAAACTGCAGGCATCACCCCAAGTACCATTCCAACCATGAGCACGAAGCTCCTGCCCCGTCCAAAACGACTTGCTTACTCAGTGCCAGGTCCTGTGCTGAGTGCTGGCTGGGGACCTAAAGGTCAATCAGCCGTGGACCTTCCCCTAAGGAGCTGATGGTAGACACAGGTAAACAAATAATCATAAAACGGCTGCACATCCTGTGTTCTGGATAAGGTAGGGATTCAAAGGCCTTACACAAACTTAGGGGTATAGGAGAATCTCGAGGGAGATGGCAAGACAGACCTGAGCCTTGAAAGACAGGTAAATGTGAGCTGTGAATAATGTTGGGAAGGGTATTCAAGGACAAGGGTAGTGTAGGCGAAGGCACAACGGAGAAGAGAACCTTCTCATCAAGACAAGGAAAGAGACTGCTGAGGCTGGACAGAGTGAAGCAGCACCCGCCCAGGGCAGAGGAGCTTCTGCCAGGCACCCCCTCCCGGTGAATCTGCCCCCTAGTCCCACCCAGGCAGGTGGAGCAAAGTGTGAAGGAGTGAGTGGGCAAGTGCGTTCTGACTGGGTGTAAATCAAGCAGCGGAGGAGGCGCAAACTCTGCACAGAGGGAAAAGCCAGGGCAGGGCGTGCCATCAGCGCTGTCGGGGTTGGCGTGGTGCCCTGAGACTGTGTCAGGACCAATTTCAAGCTGGATCAAGGCTGGTAACTTGGGGCACTCAGTTCATGCTCTTTCTTGTTGACACACTGCAGTGGATATCTGCATT